TTTTATAAATCCGTTCAACTACTGGGCTACGCAGATGATATAGATATCATAGCCAGGTCAGGGCCCGAAATGGAAAGTGCTTATCTTGCTCTCGAAGAAGCATCCAATGGAGCAGGTTTGACGGTAAATGCAGAAAAAACGACATACATGCATGCTTCAAGATCAACACCTGACATCAATGAAAAAGTTGTAACCATAGGGGAACATAACTTTGCGGTAGTGGATAGTTTTGTCTATCTGGGTTCAATGGTGACGAGGGAGAACGAAATATCTGTAGAGATCAGAAGACGAATAATGGCGGCAAATAAATGCTATTTCAGCCTTTTAAGATATTTTCGTTCTAAACTTCTAACCCGAAAAATTAAACTACTACTGTATAAAACACTTCTGAGGCCTGTACTAATCTATGGTTCCGAGACTTGGGTTCTCAGTAAAGGCGATGAGAATGCATTGCTGGTGTTCGAGCGGAAAATTCTCAGGCGTATTTTTGGTGCCGTGTGCGAAGACAACCAATGGCGAAGCCGGTACAACCAAGAGCTCTATGACTTGTACAAGGAGCTGAACGTGGCGGGACACATCAAGTTGAACAGGCTTAGATGGGCCGGCCACGTGGAGCGGATGGATGAAGCCAGAGTCCCTAAGAATGTTATGGCGAGTAATCCCGAAGGTCGTCGAAGTCGAGGGAGACCAAAGCTCCGATGGATAGACGGCGTTAATAAGGACGCAAAAAAAGTGGGCATAGCAAACTGGAAGTCCGTGGCCAGAGATAGACCGAGGTGGAAAAAGTTGCTGGACCAAGCCAAGGCCCACAAAGGGCTGTAGAGCTAGCAGAAGAAGAATTGTTTGCATTCAAACGTAAAATCTACGTTGCAATGGACAACTCATTGGGTTAGTTATTATTAATATTAAATCAGTAGTTAACAAATTAAATGTAAAGTTGCCAGTAAGTGAACTCTACTCTGAGCTATCAAAACTTTGTTAGTGTGATTTGTAGCTAAAGGAATTTATAGTTAACAACATTTAAACACTATCAAGCACTTACTAATTTATCTACTAGTTAAACAAGGTTAACGGAATTGTAAATTTCATTCACCAATTGCTTAGTGGTTAAGGTTACGGACATTCGAGGGTTCGAATCCCTCATTTCCACTATCGTAAACCATAATTCTCAATAGCTTAGAGCTTAGTGTATGAAATATTGGTACCAGGTGGCTACCACTGTTAAAATGTTGGGTAGGCTTCAGCCTCTCAGGGGGATGTGTGTAGTTGACGACTACGAAGTTTGTCATAGTTTTTTTAATTATTTTTATAAACAAGGAACACTGTACAAATTTACTATAAAAGTGTTTTTAAACCCTTTGCGGGTTTGTCAAGACATTTTAGTACGACGCTATGAAATGGAACAGTAGGTAAGTTTAATTTTAGATTTCCGTACCTCATAGAAAGAAAACGGAACCCTTATAGGATCACTTTGTAGTCCGTCTGTCTGTCAGGACCCTTTTTTTTGTTAACAGCAAATTAGTGAGCTCGCTCATACCGTTATATACAGGGTACACAAATTCGTTATAATTTTATTAGACTTACGATTTTATAATAGATAATGATTTTTAAGTATGTTTTGGTGTTTACATATTTTTTAGTTTATATTATTAAGGAGATAAAAGGTTCATAAATGCCATAGTAGAGAATTCCTTTAAGCATTTCTCTAATATACTGTTAAATTCCCAATCAAGATTATATATATATATATATATATATATATATATATATATATATATATATATA